AGTTATATCATTAAAACTAGATTTATTCCGTGTCAGATACAGGTATATTTGTAGAATGCAAACAACAGATCGTACCTCTTTATCTTTAATGTAAGTACCTTATAACATTACACACCCATTGGCCCTCCTTCATTGAAACTTCTGTTCCCATGAATTTTATTTTATTTTATTTCTACATGTTATACACACCCCTTTGTACTGCTATTAGTTTGGCTCTAAGCTATTTTTAAATAGATTTTTAAAATCAAGAAAACTCTCTTACCCTTGCCAACATACCTACGAGCTCTGGTGGTTATGCTTCCTCTGCCATCACTCCTTATGCTGCAGGACTGCTGGTGTCATTCTATGAGGGGTTTTTCATATGTATGTCTGAAAATTTTATTATTTTGTTTTTATTTTTGAAGAGTATTTTTGCTAGATTCAAAATTCTAATTTGAAAGATTCTTCTAGCAGTTGAAAATATCATTCCTTTTCCTTGTGCTTTGCCTAGCTTATAAGAAGTGTACAGTCATTTTTGTTTGTATTTCTTTATGTAATAGTTATTTTTTCTGTTTTTAAGATGCTCTCTTTATCACGTATTTTCACCAGTTTTACTATGATATGCTTTTTGTGGTTTCTTGTGTTTTCCCTATTTAGCATCTTTGAATTTCTTTGGTTTGTGGGTTATAATTTTCATGAAACTTGGACTGTGTTCAGCCCTTATTTCTTCATAACCAAAGGTCAGAATGACCGGAGTCTCCGTGCACCGACAGGGGCCTCGCTGCACTCCTAGCACAGCCCCAGCAGTGTCTGAAGCTGGTAGTGGCCCCGAAGCCCAGGACACTGGGTAGACTGCACTTGCTCCTTGTTTGTCCCGTCCCCACAAGCATCTTCTCAGGGAGAGAGCTAAGCACACCCTGCCAGGAGGCAAAGTGAAGATGACGTGCTTGCTTTTGAGGGCAAAGTCCAACCCGCAGGGCCCACCCTGCAGGCTTTACTGATGTCATTAACGCTGATAAGACCAGGATGGGGGATTCAGCTCAGTGGTGCCGCCGCCTGCCTGGCAAGCGCAAGGTCCTGAGTTCCATCCCCGGTACCAAAAACACAGAAATAAAGTAAAGAATAAATAAATAATAAAAAGTAAATAAAAATAAAAAACACTGGTAAGACTGGAGAGAATCCCTGCCTGGCCTATAACACACTGCCCCTCGTCATACTGCACCCGAGGAGGCCGACGAGGAACTTGCAGGTGGTGACCCAAGACGCTAACCTGGGAAGAACTGGCACGATCGCCAGCGGGGAAGAACATCCGGGCTCTTTTGATGTTCGTGTGAAAGCTCCAAAGGCAACAGCTTTGCCACCCAGTTCTCCAGCGTTTTCATTTCTGGCAAAGGCAGTGTACCGTGCCGTCTCTGTCTCTTGGCAAAGGGGTCTGCTTCACTGTCGCCGGAGAGACACAGGAGGCTGGGCCAAACAGGGCGGCAGGTGAAAGGGTCCCCAGATGAGGTGTGGAGAGGAGAGGGCCCTGTGATTGTGGTCATCTTTCTTGCTTCTTTGCATAACTAATGAGAAAACTATCAAAGCATCTCAAGTAGTCAGGTAAATACTGACGTACAAGGCTTTGTTTGGATTTATATACATTTGCTTGCACACTCCTATACCTATACTGGGTTCTAATGTAAAACAGACTTATTCTCATAGATTACAGTGACATTAAAAATGTAACCCACTGCCTTAGATTAGTTATTGTTGTAAAATCTTTGTAAGGCAGGAATTATCTCTACGTTACTTAAATAAAGCCAAGAGTAAGTTGAATAATTTGCCTTTGATCATTTGGCTGGTTAGTGGCTGAGCCTCTATTGGATACAAATCTTTACACCTTTGAGAAAGGATTTAAAATGTCGTATACACACAGACACACACACAGACGCAAATTGAAATGAGGTCTGAAAATGCTTTAGGCTAGGGAAACCTGAGGCCTGGCCACCTGACCCAGCTGGCTGGCTCTGCAGAGCCCCTGGCCCCAGAGAGATACCAGATGGCCTGGTGACGCCTCTCCTTGTATCGCTGCTCTCCCTTCTGTCACGGTCAGAGCTTCTCTCGTCTCTCAGCGTGCATGAGCGACCAACACCGTCCTGGGATGTTCGTGTCCATCACGGCAGTAGTGCCACCCAATTGACGCAACTTCCTTCTTTGTTTTTACCTATAAAAATCCAGATCCTTCAGATGCCGTTTAGGGAATCATGAGTTCCGTGCACCTGGAACTTGTGTCACCTTCATACTGTGTCAAATAAATTCTTTGTTCTCATCCTGGTGAGCTGCAACTGCCCCTGTGGTTGGCCCCTAGAGCTACCTCTTTGGGCTGTTTTTGATGTTTGGTTGGAGGGGAGAAGAGCCTGGGCCCCATATGCAGATGCCTGTGGCAGCCTGGAAGCCAGAAAGCCCCCTCCCCTGTAGGAGAGCCCCAGGAAGATTTCCCGGCCACAGGCCAATTCCAGCTGCTGTCACCTCACACCCACGGGCACAGCAAATGTGAAAGGCCCTGTGGCCAGAGCCCTGTTCTGCTCACGCCATTCCAGCAGGAATATTGAGTGGACAAGACCTTCGTTAACAAGAACTATTTGTGTGCTATGATTACCTTGACTGGAGGATCTGGCCTTCACTTGGAGTCTTAATCATTAGTTGAGTCCCTTTCTCTCTTTGAACGGGCTCCTCTTTCACAAAAAAAGATCTTTCACTTGAAAGTGCCAGTGTGCTTAATTCTCGTGGCAAAATTAAAGCTTACTACAACACCTGCAAACAGGACCACCTCTCTCCCACGGTTGGCAGGGTTTGTGGGGAAAGGATATTCTGGCACATTCCTGCTAGTGCAGTCAGACAGCCTCACAGCTCAAGAGTTTCAAACGTAGGTGATTGGAGAATTAATTCCTGATAGTCTGTGAGCAAATCAGTGCAGATGCCAGCGTGGTTACTGTTGGCTAGAGGTGAGAAATGATTAGGTAAGAAGCAGCAACAGAAAAGAAAAGAAGCATTGTCTGGAATCCCCTGTTCTTTAGAGAGTCAGTTCATTTTTGTTGATGGTGTTGCTTGAGATGTACACATTACAAATCTTCCTTTTTAGATGAGTAGCCATATGTCTTATGCCAGTGTTTATCTTTTAGCCTTTCTTCTGAAGAAGTGAAATGTCAGTGTGTGTGTGTGTGTGTGTGTGTGTGTGTGTGTCTAATCTCTGGCACATTTGTGCTTGTGTGTCTTCAGCTGCCTAAATTCTCCTTCATTTACCACTCAGCTCCTAAGATCTCCTGGAAGAGGGGCCACCAGTGCAGCTGGGTTCCCTTGAAGATGCTGTGAAGGGGTGCTCAGAGCTGGATTTTTAGAATAATGACTTACTCGTTTTCTTTTTTGGCAAATACTTACATGGTACTAGCTATGTTGAGCATTAAACATACAAAAGAATTTTATCCTCTCAGCAACCCTCCCGAATAAAACAGGTATAATTTTACACTGAGGAAGCTGAGGAATGGAGACACTGTCCTTCAGTGTCATTTAGTGGGAGGACTGGGTCTCTACCCCCTCAGGGTGGCTTAGACTTGATGTGCTCACCTCAACACCAGTCTGTCTGCTCCTTTGTCCCTCTCCACCCCCAGGACACCGGCCACAGCCTGTGGTCGTGGCCCCCTTCTGTCTTGGGCCCTGGTTGGAAACACTTCTCAACCACGCTCCATCCTGCATGATGTCCTCAACTGTGCTTTCCTCTTCTGAATCTCTACCGCATACCAATTAGTTGCTCAGAAGTTATAGAAGTGCCTGTAATTTCCAGCACAATTGTATGCTTTTCATACTTTTCTCAGCAGCAGGAGGGAAGACGAGCCGTGTTACAGCACTACTTTACTTTAACTGTGCACCTGCAGTGCTTACCTACTGCAGAGGCAGAACTCGCTCTCTTCCTGTTAGTCGAGTACTGTGTGTCCCTCGCACTTGGAGCAGTCTCATAACGTCCCACACAGTTGCTTGCTCCACCTCCTTCCTGTCCCCTCAGGTTGCAGACATCACAGGTGGATGGGAAAGAGTAACAGGACTCAGGCAAGAATTGAGGGAATAATTCAGCTTTCAGGTTACACTCAAGACATTCTCGGTGTTTTGCACATCAAATTTTGAATTGCTTTTGAGAAACTAAACACACAAGTGGACGGTGGCCAAACCATCTGTGACAACAGAGCTCTGTCCACAACCTCTGAAGCAGCCAGCCAAGGATGCCAGCCCTAAGTACGGCCACCAGCTGATGGGCAGGCCTTGGTCAATGACTGCCAGGCCCCTCATTGAATTTCTATTGTATTTTTGGCAGTACCGAGCTTCACACTAAGCTACACACTCAGCCTTTTTTTTAGTTTTTATATGTGTGAGACAGGGTCTCCTAAGTTATTAAGTTGCCCAGGCTGGGCTCAAATTTGCAGTCCTCCTGCCTCAGATTCCCAGGGTGCCATGTCACCACACCTGGCTCAGATCCCCTGATTGTTCCCCACCCAGATAAAGCCAAATATTCTCAAACCCACCTCAAAAGCACATGTTGCTTCCCGTTGCCCTGCCTTTGCGCTCCATGCCTACACACCGTTCAGCGCGGGCCTGACTTCTGCCTTTTCTCTTTAGCTGTGTCACTCACTCCCCTGACTCGGATGGCAGCTGACGCTTGCTACACAGCTCTAAGTGAATCAGAGGGTTCGGTCTGTCCTCATTTGTATTCTCTTTTCTTATTTCCACACTTTCTAGAAATAGTGTCCCCCTGTTCTATGTCCCTGAGAACTGATCATTATTATATTGGTTTCTCGTTTTCCAGTTGTGTCCCGGGACTTATATAAAGGGCTGATTATTTAAGGTGAAGTCCAAAGGTAATCGAGATATATGTATAAATGGTCTTATGCATAACAGTTTTACCGAGCTAAAGTATTTTTGTGCCTTGCTGCTTATGAATGTGTGTGTCAGCCCTTCTTAGTAGTAATTAAAAATTAGAGAAACAGGCCAAAGATATTAAGGAGAGTTTTATTGTAAAAACAGACAGGAGGTGCAGTTTTACATTTTTCCAAGTCTTCGGAAACTCTCAGAGTAGAGACTTCGAGGCGTCTGTCGTACCAGCAGGCAGACTAGTTACAAAGGGGGATGGGGGCGCTCACTTCCGGCTGAACTGCGGCAGAGGCGGCGGCACCTTGATGTCCTGGCCTCTCTCCAGCTTCTTCTCGCAGTCCACCAGGTAGTTGACTCCGTCAATGACAATCTGCACCAGCTCCACCTTGGCAGCGAAAGGAACAAAGCGTTAGTGGGAACCGCAGAGAGCTGCAGGGCTGCGATCAGCAGGGACGGCAGCTAGGTCTGAGACAGTCTCTGGCTTCTCTCCGCTTCCTGCGTGGGTACTGGGAGGGGCCAGCAGGGGCGGGGCCAGGCGGGGCCGGGGTCTCCTGGGGGCTCCTCAGTGAGGATGGGGCGCTGCTCTGTGAGGACTCCTGGTGTGCGAATGCCACTGGCCGTTCCCTGCACCTTCTCCTCAGTCTCAGCAGGAAAAGACCAGTGTCTGTCTCACAGCAGGACCACACAGCGACAACTCAGTACTGTTCTCTCCATCTGGGGCTGACCCACTGCCAAACCCTCCAGTCACTGGACATGCCAGGGCTCGGAGAGCACCGTTTACACACTGGATGTCTTTCTGGGGAAAAAAATCTTTAAAATCAAATGTTTGGCTACCAAATCGTGTTCTCAAGATCAAAGAGGATATCAGAAAATGGAAATATACCCCTTGTTCTTGGGTAGGAAGAACCAATACAGTGAAAATGGCCAGACTTCCAAAATTGTTATACAGATTCAAAGCAATCCCAATCAAAATCCCAACAGAATATCTCACAGAATTAGGAAAAACAATCCTAAAATTCATTTGAAACCAGAAGAGATGGAGAATAGCAAAGGCAGTTCTGGGCAACAAAGGCAAGGCAGGGGCTATGACAATACCTGACCTGAAATTATACTACAAAGCTACTGTGATAAAAACAGCATGGTAATGGCCAAAAAGCAGACCTGAGGATAAATGGAATAGACTAGAGGATGCAGAAACAACTCCAAACACCCTCAGCCACCTTATCTTTGACAAAGGAGCCAAAAACCTTCACTGGCAGAAAGATAGGCTCTTAAATAAATGGAAAAACTGGCTTTCCACATGCTGAAGATTGAAACTAGACCCATATCTTTCACCATTCACTAAACTCAAATCAAAATGGATCAAACATCTAAATATTGAAACAAAAACACTAAATCTTCTGGAAGATAGAATAGGTAGAATACTTGAGGACATAGGAGTAGGGAAAGACTTCGTGAACAAAACCCAGTCTGCACAGGAAATACTACAAAGAATCAACACTTGGGATCTCATCTTATTAAAAAGCTTTTGCACAGCAAGAGAAACCACCAACAGAGTGAAGACACAACCCACAGAGTGGGAAAAATTTTTTACCAGCTATTCAGATAAAGGACAATTATCTAGAATATATAAAGAACTTTAAAAAATTAGACCTCCCAAATTTAAATACCCATTACAAAAATGGGCATCTGAAATGAAAGACATTTCTCCAATAAAGAATTAGAAATGGCAAATAAATACATGACAAATGTTCAACATCTTTGGTCAGTCGAGGGATGCAAATTAAAACAATGCTGAGATTCCATCTCACTCCAGAAAGAATGGCTGCTATCAAGAAATCAACCAATAACAAATGCTGGCGGGGCTGTGGGGAAAGAGGAACCCTTCTCCATTGTTGGTGGGAGTGTAGACTGGTGCAACCACTGTGGAAATCAGTATGGAGATACCTCAAAGAACTAGGACTAGAGGTCCCATTTGACTCAGCTATACCTCTTCTTGATATCTTCCCAAAAGAATTAAAAGCATCATACCACAGTGACATAAGCACATCAATATTTATAGCAACACAGTTTGTAATAGCTAAATCTTGGAAACAGCTCAAATGCCCATCAACTGATGAGTGGATAAAGAAGATATGGGTTTTTTTATACAATAGAGTACTATTCTGCCATAAAGAAGGATGAGGTTCAGACATTTATAGCTGAATGGGCCTTGAGACCATACTCGTAAGTGAAATAAATCAGACACACATGTAAATACCACATTGTTTCTCTGGTGTGAGAAACTGAATATGGAACTAAGGACTGAGATGTATGATAGATATTGGGAAGTGGGAAGAAAGTGTTCAGATGGGAAGGGGAATGAGGGAGGAGGGAGGAAGGAAGGGACAAGAAGAAAGTGAAAATAGAAGGAAAAAATGGAAACAAAGGTTTTGTACCTAGGGAGAGGAGAGGGCTTGAAAATAAAATCGTGGTTTCACTGTGCCAGGCAAATTTATTACTTATAGGAAACTTTATGAATTATAGTAAAATATATATTTGAAAATTCCTCCTTTAAAAAATATGCTAGAATTTGGTTTCCAAATACTGGCTTTAGTTCATTCCAGACAACATAAGATATGAGGTGTGACTGAGGGCGAGCAGTAAGGGTGGAAGGGATGCTGAAAGTTGGAGTCAGGACAGACCTCAGACTCACTGGCGTCCACTTCCTCCTCTTTGCTCACACCCGAGGGCAGAGCCCCATCCCAGAGAAGGGGCCCAGAAAGCAAGTCACTGCTAAGGAACCTGTCCTGTCCTCATCCAGCCGACCTTTCCTAATGGGGAGAGCTTTTGCAGGATGGGGCTCCCATCAGGCCGTGGGACACTAATCTAGTATCAGTCAGCAAAGCACTAGATAAAGGACTATCTTTACTCTGCAGTCATTAAAAATCCCATCTTTGGGATGATAAGGGTTTTTTTGGTTGTTATTTGTTGAGTTGTGTTGTGTTGTGTTTTTGTGGTGCTGGGGATCATGCCAGGCCAGCACTCTACCATAGATCTGCACCTCCCGCTCCAAAATCATGATTTTGAAGAATATTTAATATTGTAGGAAAATGCTCGTGTATTGGGGAAAAGTACATAATAACACTTATATGCGACAATAATAATTGTTAAAGTTTTCTGAATAATTATTTGAAAAGAGTAGAAAGCAATTTAGAATAATATTCACAATGGTTTAATCCAAATAGTTGTTAGATTAAATATGTGGTTTGAAACATTCATAATAGCTAAATTATGGAAGAGGTCTATTAGGAAGAGATCTATGTGCTCATTAACAGAAGAATGGAGAAAGAAAATGTGGTCGATATACACAGTGGAGTACTGCTCAGCCAGAAAGAAGGGTGCACTTGAGTCATCTGTAGGAAAATGGATGCACCTTGAGGACATAATGCTAAGGGAAATGAAAAAGACACAGAAGGTAGACTATTTCATGGTTTCTCTTATATGAGAAACCACAGGTATAGATAGTTGAAAGAGCAAAATAAAAGAGGGGTGATAGGAAACAGGGAGGTGGACTCGAGATGGGGCAAGGACCTAGGGAAAGGGGGAGTGGGGTGGCAGGGGGAGGGGAGGGAGAAGGTCAAGATGTGGTTTGCACATGGACCGATTCCCCACCATGAATGTACTGATTACGTGTCACGTGTCAACAGCAAAAAAGCAGGCGTAATAAAATTTTCAGAGTAAATAAAAATAAAAGAGAGTACTTGCTGGCATCTTTCTACCTTTCATACTGCTCACAAGGAACTCACAGCTAAAGCACAAGTGACAGTGTGACCTGGCAGTGCCACCACGCAGGGCCCCAAGTGCTGCATCCTCAGCTGCTGTCACCTCCTGTCCTTGTATTTGCTTCGCATTCAGCTGCAGGGCCCTCCAGGGAGCTCCTCCTGCCATCCCCATCATGCAGGCCCTGGAGGTTTCCACGAATCCTGCTCCTTCTAAGTATCCCTTCTTTTATAAGCACACTGTATCTATAACAACTGCAAACCTTATTTGCCATCTTAACCTTAAAATTAAACTCTAGAAATTATCAAGTATTTAAGAATGCCAGAGTGAAGATGCCCAGGAAAAATTCAGAATCTGGAGAAAATTGCACCCAGCCCACCCCCGAAGGACAGCGCACATTCCCTGACTCCACAGTGACAAAATACTGCTGTCCTTTGCCACAGCAGAGCTCCTGGTGCTGACGGCCACTGAGCAGCTCTCAGGGCCGGTGCGACCACAGGCCCTCAGTGAAGTGCTCTTCCTGCTTGAGGTCCCCAGGTTACCCCGCATTTGCCTCTGTGTCCTCGCTTCCCCTGGGAGAGAGTGTCGCCAAAGGGACGGCGAACAGGGCTCATCTCCTCTGCTTCCTCTCCCTCAGGCTGAGCCCTCAGTGCACGTCAGGAAGGTGTGAGAGACGCTACCTCTGATCTGCCGATCCGATCGATGTTGGAAATGTCATACACGTCCGCCACTGCCTCGGTGTCCACGCCACCCGTGCCACGCTTCTGGAGCCTGAGGTTCTCCAAGATCTTAGAAAAACGTGGGTCCTATGACGAGGGATAAGACTTAAGTGTCCTGAGAAGCAAACACAGTCACCAGCACTGGTACATTCACTGAGAAAGGACGGATAATGAAAATAGTAGCTGTTAATATTTATAAAGCATTTGTTCACTACGCAGGAGGCTCTGTGCTGGGACTGAGAACCGCCTATGCAGTAGGTGTTGCCTGCACTCCTGCCTTAGTCTGCTTTCTGTTGCTGTAACACCGCAGTGGAGACCAGGCAATTTGTGAAGAAGGGAAGCTTATCTGGTTCACACCTGGGAAGTCAACAGCCTAGTTCCAGTCTCTGGTGAGGAAGCCAGTAGGGCATCCATGGCAAGCCCGAGACACGTGCCATCCCAGTCTGTCTTCTTCAGAGCCACTGAGGTCATCGTGGGTCCAGAACCGCATGACCTTACTACTACCCCCAGAGCTGCCACCTCCAGTACATAGGCACAGGACCTTGGGGATTACATTTCTGTCGTGCACATCTAAGGGACACATGGCACCCTCAGCAACCTCCACTGCACAGATGCAAGGAGCTTCAGAGGACTTCTGCTCAGAGTCACGCAGCTAGGACGTGGCAGCACTGGGACTGAACCTGTGTAGTCCTGACTCCAACTTTATGCTCTTAACGTCCACATATTTTTTGCATAGGGATGCCAACTTCGATATGTTTGATATCACTCATGTGTATATCACTTGTCACTGTTATAATTGAAATCAAGAAGTTCAATCACTTCACTTTCTAGGCACTGGAATAACAAAACTTCTCAAACTATCTTTGGGGGCAGGCAGCATATTTTCTAAAATTGTTTTTAAAGTATCTGATTTGCCGGGTGTGGTGGCACATCTCTATAATCCCAGGACTTGGGAGGCTGAGGGAGGAGGATCACCAAAAGTTTGAGACCAGCCTGGACTACATAGTGAATTCAAGAACAGCCTGAGCTACATAGCAAGACCCTGTCTCAAAAAAAAATTTTTTTTTAATTTACTTGGTATACAGTGGCAGAAACTGCTAGTTACTCAGCAGAGTCCTCTACCTCTTCTTCCAGTGTTGGAGCTGAGGAAGCCCCTGCTCGCTGGCTACGTCTGTGCTCATGGCGTGAGCAGGGGCTATGATATGGTTGGTAGCTGGATGTCCTCCCAGAGCCTCACACGCTCACTGCAGGGCTCTTGCAAGCTGAGTGGATTGTGGGGGCCTAGAGCTGCCCTGCTGTTCGGAGCTGGGGCTGGAGGAACGAAGTGGGTCACTGGGCTGTTCTCCTCCCTGCTCTTTGCTTCCTGTCCCCCATGCCGAGAGCAGCTCTCCTCCACCCGGCCCTCGCCCTTAGCCAGCAGGCTATGAGCCAAACAAGCCTGTCTTCCTTTAAGTTATGGGTGCCGGGTACTGTGTCTAGCAGCAAGAAATGTGACCCAGACAGGACGTGTGCCACTTCCAGGCTGAGATGTCCATCTTGGCACGGCCACACTTGCCTGGACGCTGTCCCCTCCCACTCGCTAGGACAGGGGCCTGCTGTGACCATGTAAAGGGGACTGTGCCCGAGACAGTGGTCCTCCAAGCTTGGTACCTCGAGTCCTAGCCTCAGCGTCACCGGAATCTTTCAGAAATGGCAAATTCTGCAGTGGGGCGGGATTTGCACTGACCACGCCCCAGGCCGCTCCTAAGCACACCTGACCCTGAGAACGAACTTCTGGGTTAAAGGAGACAGGGAGGCGGGAGGCACCTGCCAAGCTGAGCAGCCCGCTTGCTACCCTAGTGTCACCCGACGGAGCAGCCACTGTGTCTCTGTCACAGCTGCTGGCCGTTGACCCCAGTAGTACAGACAGCTTTTCTCTGACAGTGGAGAAACTAGGTCAAGGACCCCAGGGTGGCCCCGTCTGAGCCGTCCCGGGATGGGGAGCCTACCGGTGGGCTCACAGTACCTTGCTGAGCTTCGGGATCCGCACGTGGACACCGGCCCGCAGTCCGGTCCCCAGGTTGGACGGGCAGGTCAGGATATACCCCAGACGCTCGTTCCACATGAACTCCCAGCCGCGCTCCTGGATCAGCCGCTCCACCTGCAAGTGGGACAGCGCTGGACACACGGCAGGGTCCCCCAGTGCCCGTCCTCGCAGCTCGCCCACCCCGACCTGGGGCGGGATGTGGGTGCCATGCATGAAGGCGAGGTGCATTCACAGGACTTCAACATAAAAAGAGGCACATTAGAGTGGTCCAGTTAGATGAGGCGAGCCTTGTAAAACACTGGACAGCAGGTACTGCCCTCTCAGTAATGCCATCTGATGTTCACTGTTGCACCAGGACAGCAGGAGAGCACGGATTCACAGCAGCTACGCCCACACCGGGGACGTTGGTACCACCTGGGTGCTGAGGACAGCGGGAGAAAACGCCCAGGAGCACCGAGGTCCCCACAGCACGTGTGTGGGAGATGGGAGCCTCCCCTGGAGGAGTCGCCTGCTCTGAACCGTTGGGCTGGGAGCCCACTCCCCAGAGAGTGTCTTGGTCCATGGAAGAAAGTAGCCCTGTCTTGCAAGTTACCATAGTGGCTTTTTATAGAATAAAAAGCAGAGACGTCTTATTTTTGTGACTATCGAGCAGTCTCGGGCAGGATCTTACTTCCTTCAGTCCGCGACAGAATCGCTCGAACACCCGTTTCATGTTGCCGCCCTTTTCCATGGAGATGACCCTGGTGTGGTCCTCCTCATTGATCCAGATGAGAAAGGTCTTGTCGTAGTTATGCCTGGTGAGGGAGGAGCACACCGCTGAGCACTTGCTGCATTGTCCCAACCCGTAAAACCCTATCTCCTCAGGGGCTCGATTGCCACCCCTTCTCCCCTAGTTGTGCCTGCACACGTCCCACAAAATAAGGTTACCGGGACAGGATGCAGGGCAGGACCGACCTCAAGCTTCATACTTCTACCCAGGAAGATGAAAAGATGCTGGTTCCTTGGACACGATGACCACAGTCAACCCTAGCAACACTGGCTTTGACACGGGAGTATTTTGTCTCCCAAAAATGCAACCAAAATCTTGGGGTGCATTGAAAACAAAAAGGCTGCACCTGCGGGCCAAGGTTTTCAGGTTGCAAGGGCGATCCCATGTGTTGGCAGCAAAGCCCCTGCCCGACCACACCATGGGACAGTCAGGATAATGGGCCAAGGCGCAGGACAACACGGGCTGAGGACTGGGAGCACATGGGTAGCCACTCCTTTTAGTTTTTCTTAAACCATCAATATTTCCTTTGCCGTTTCTGGTCTTTTGTCTTACTGTCAGCAGGCAAGTTCTCTGAGGTGAAATAATACGAAGCGCATGTTTTCTTTTAAAAGCAGCCTCCCCGCCCCCGTACATGATCCCTGGAAGCCGGCTCAGAAACACCCCGGAACCGAGTGTGTTTACACACACGTGGGTTCTAAGGAGTCGGTCTTCTCCGTGAGCTTAAGCTGGACATGCTGTCAACGGCGGCTACAGCAGCCTAGGTTAGGACGACAGCGTCTGAGGGGTCCTCTGCCTACATGGCAAGCGGGAGGAGATGCTGCGTCCGTACCAGATTCCCCTGGCGTCTGGCCAGTCTCGGGCCATCCCAGCACAGGTCAGTAAAGGGGACACGGGCTTATCAAACAGGAAGTGGTCCTGCAGGCCGAGGGACAGGGGCGAGAGAAGAGATCGGTGAGCGCTGGAGGCTGCAAATGCCAGGTGACCCAGCCTTACTCTGGCATGGCGGTTCTCAGCTGAGCGCCCACCAGAATACCCAGGAACTTCAAAGTCAGCACCAACGCCCAGGCCCCGGCCCCGGCCCCACACTTCTCCCCGCTGGGCAGGCTCTCTCTCGGGGAAAGGCTTCCGGAGGCGGGTGGCCAGTGACGGCTGACAGCCACGGCTGTGTCCACGCGGCGGGGGGTGTACCCACCGCTGGTGCCACTGCTCTCCTGAGAAGGCTTCTCCACAGCCACTGTTCCGTGTTCCTAGCATTGTGGGTGCCTTTATGCTACTTTCCTTCATTTAAAAGCATTGAAGAAAGACTGCAGTCATGTAGGAATAAAAACAGCACCTAGTACTTCTCCCTCATCGTGCGCCAGGCCCTGTGCTGCGTGTGCCAGCCCACTTCCTTCAGTCCCACCGTGAGAGGGGTTATTCTGCTTTATAGGAGGTGCAGAGAAAGCAGTCAGGCCCGGTCCTGCAGGGCACCCCAGCTATGCCCTGAGCCGAGGGATTCGGGCCACGTGTCAGAGTCTGTGCCCACAGCCTGCCAGCCTTCTGCTTGCACAGCAGCCTGTCCGCCGCCGTGAGGTCCGTGGATGTCAAGAATTGGCATCTCACTGCCCCGAGGTAGGAAGACAGGAGGGGGAGTCCCGCCAGGGTCCTCGCAATGGGCCCCGTCAGAGACGAGCGGAGGAGCATGGACAGGGGCTGCCCAGGAAGCAGCCCCTGCTCCCAGTGGGACCTCGAGGGGTCCCGGGGCGGGGGCTCCTCTGGCAGGCTGGACGGCCAGGCCCTTGGCCACAAGGACGAGAGCCCCAGGCAGGCCTGTGGAGCACAGAGCTGGTCTGCATGGTTCGGGCATGGACACACACTGTGGAATTGACATCTTTGGAAATGACAAGCTTTGTTTGCTTGCTTGTGGTACTGGGGTTTGAACCCAGGTCCTTCGAACTGAGCTACATCCCCGGTCGTTTTTTAAATTTTGAGACAGGCCTCGCTGAATTGCCTAGGCTGGGCTCAAATTTGCAATCCTCCTGTCTCAGCCTCCCAGCCAGCCAGGATCTGGACTTGTGCCACCACGCAGGCTGAAACGGCAAATTCCCAAATTCCATTTCCGCTGTACAGGCCACCCTGGTTCCCCTGTGCCTGCCCAGGACCTGAGCTCTGCAAGCCGCGCTAGGTAGGCGGGTGGCTGCACACCAGCCCACGGCCTTGCACGACCCACCCCGCCCCGCCGGCGCTCACGTCGATGAGCCGCTGCTGGTCCTGCTCGGTCATCTCCGACAGCTTGTAGTAGCGGCCGGCCAGGTCGCCCTTGAGGCCCTGGAGCGCCGCGATGGCCACGTTCTCCACCTCCCTGCGCTCCGCGCGCGAGCAGGCGGGTGGCAGGCTGAGCCCGCGGATGCTGCGCCCGGTGCGCACACGGGAGGACAGCACGTAGCGCTCATCGAACTGCCCCTGGGTGATCTGCGGGTGGGCGGGGCGGTCACCATGGAGCAGGGTGAGCGACCGGAACCCCCACCCCCGGGGCGGGGCCCGAGATAAGGGGCCAGGCTGCTTCCTACCCTCTCTCGGATTGGGATGAAAGGGAGGTTTGGGGACAGGGTTAGAGTCTCCCCACCCCCAGGATTGGGGACGGACCCCTGGGCCTTCGTGCGGAGCTACACCCCTACCCCTTTGTATTCTTCATTTGGAGGCAGGGTCTCCCTGAGTTGCTAAGTTACTCAGGCTGGGCTCGAATTTCCAATCCTCCTGCCTCAGCCTCCCTAGCAGTATTTTTAAAACCTATTTTAAAAATTAGTTCATGTTTGTAGTTCATGATCACATTTCTCTTGGGGAGCTGGTGCATGGACTCAACACATCATAATTCCTTTTTTAACTCCCCCTCCCCTTCCTCCTCCCTCCTTGGTTCCCTTTCCTTTTGCAAAGATCTATCTCCCTTCTTCCTATCTTCTATCTTTCATTTTGCTCCTTATGTGTACTTTGGGGTTCTCCTGTAAAAGAAGCCATGAAATGTTTGTTTATGCATCTGATTTATTTCACTCAGCATTATGGTCTCCAGGTGCACCTGTTTTCCTACAGATGACTCAAGCTTATCCTTCTTCCTGGCAGAGTAGTACTCCAGACCTTCTTAACCTGCTGTGCTCCCCCCAGGGGTTCTGGCCAGGGAGCCAATCTGGGGAAGGAGGGGCTGGCCTACCTTGGAGGCGTCCAGATCTGTGGGGTGCTTCATCACCCGGGGGTCGTAGCCGTTGTGCCTCAGTTTGATGACAGGGTCAAAAAGGTCAGCAAACACCTGCGGGAGAGAAGGCGCCTGGGTTCTGGGGCCCTCGGTGTTCTCACCAACGAGCTGCTTCACCTGCCGCTTTACCCTGAGGGCCGGCCAGAGTTAAGCTCTGAAGTTCTCCAGCTCATGGCAGAAAGGAGCGTGAGGCGGTGCTACGAACAGCAGGGTGCTGGGGCTCCTGGCCAGCCCACCGCCGCCTGTCTGTGCTGCGCGTCCTGGGGCTCTGCTCTGGGGAGAGACCCGGCCTAGCGCCCAGCCACAGCTCGGGGCAGGACCGGAAGGTGGGTGCCGTGCCGAGGGCGAAGCCCGTGAGCAGGAAGCGCTGCTGCCCCCGAAGCAGAGGGGACACAGCGGCCACGGGCGGGCGAGGTGGGGCTCTGCCCCCAGCTTCAAAGGCTGCTCTCTTTGCTGCCCGCGTGGACTGCACTGTGGAGAGGTTTCGGGGCCTGGGCGCCGGGGCCCCGTCCTGTTCAGCCGGCATCCCCTCCTCCCAGCTGCTGCCTTCCAGGGAGTGGCTTCCGGGGGCGACACAGGCGTCGACACAGGGAAGCCAGGCGGGGCGCTGGGGGCTGGACAGCAGCCTCCCCCGAGGAGGGGCCAGGCAGCGCGCTGAGCTCCATCCGTGCTTCTGCACCAAGGGTGGAGTTCCAGACCCTGGGTTTGTCTGGGACACTCTGCAGCTCAGGAGTCGGGCAGCAGGAAAGAGAATTGCCCCCCAGAGGACACGTGGGGCCCGACCCCATCCCGGAGCCCAGACCCCCTCCTGCCGTCTCCATGGTGACGCCTTCCTACCGCCCCTCCTATGAGCTGGCCTCACTCTCAAGGGGGCCCTGACCCGGGAAGCTGCAGCCCTTGGTATCCCCAGAAGCATTCCTGATGGTGCCGTGGCACTGAGACCCCTTCCCCAGGAGCCACAGTGCCGGCCCCGGTGGGGGGAGAGGCTCTGGGCCCAGGGCCGCCCCCACTCTGGAAGCAGCAACCGGAGGCCCACCTCGTAGGACTCCTCATCCCCGGCCACCATGCCCACTGTCTTGATGAAGGGGTGGCCCGGGTTGTCCACGCCGGTCTGGATGCACTGGTCCAGGGTGTAGCCGCTGGGCGTCATCTTGTTGCGGAGCTTGGCGTAGATGGCCGGGGTGAGGCACTCGGCCATGCAGTTGTTGTGCTTGCGGAGGTCAGGGTAGTCAGCGCTGAGTGGGGGACAGTGGGGCGTCGGGAACAGCCGGGAGGGGCTGGCCAGGGCTGGGGCACAGCAACACCTGGCTGGAGCTGCCGGGGTTGGGTTGTGTTAAGTGGGGCTTCAAAGACAAGGGGTCTTGGGGATCTGGCACAGAAAAGGACAGGGCCTGACGATAGGCCCTGTGACCCGACTGCAAGAGGGCCCAGACTGTGGGAGACTGTGTCCCCGGTAACAGGGGAGGAGGGCAGGTCAAAGAGTGAGCAAAACCCACCGCGGACGCTCAGACTTTAAACAAATGCAGGCAGTAAAAGACACTGTGCCACGAATCCCCTTCAGAATCCTTCTCCTGGCTTGGAGCACACTCATCCCGTCGTCCTTGCTGCTTTCTGAAGCAGCTCTGGAGTCCTCTTTCCTGAGGGTCTTTGTAAGGTGTGGTAAGAAAAATAGAGCAAGTCCTGCTGCCCAGTGCCACCCAAGGGAAAGGCAGCTCACGAAAACACGACAGTGTCCCCATCTGCCTCATCTGGCCTGGTGCCTCTTCTGGGTCCTCTCCAAAGTCAAAGGGACCACGGAAGGAAAGCGTTTTGAATCAGTTCGGCGCATTAAGGCAGCCAGGATGGCACAACTACAGAGACTCAGGAGAGAGGACTCCGAGCCGCTGGGGAAGTGGCCAGGATGAGGATGAGGGTGCTCCCCGGAAGGGGGCTGTTTGTTCCTGAGTAGGCAGCATGTTGAGGGGACTCACAGCAATGTGCTTTCGGCTGTGATAATCGTCCTATTTAAACACACGCTGTACTTTGTGCATGCCGGCGTTTCCGCAGGTACACTGGCACTCCACCCTCGGCCTCACCTCAGAGCCGGGCTCACCTTGGGGGAAACAGCTTGTGTTGGCCGAGGGCCTCTGCGCACACCTTGGGCCGGTGCAGCAGGTAACCGGAGGTCAGGGCGCTGGTGCCCACAGTGGCGAGCAGCAGAGAGGCATTGCGGCCAGTGAGCAGCTTGGAGAAGGTGCTGGCCATGCTTCTTCTCGGGGGAGGCTGGAAGGAAGGAGGAAGGAAGGAAGGAAGGAAGGCAGGAAGGAAGCCGGGTCAGCCGGGTGTCAGGAGCTCGGGGAGAACGGCAGGCCCACCGCCCCTCCCGAGATTGCTCGCTTCCTCTTTACTCCCATTCCTTCTTCTTCCCACTGCTTGGGAAAATACGGCTTAGCCTTCATCAGTGCCCATGACATTTTCTCTAGCAATGTGACGTAGAAAATAAAACAGGTTGCCCCTCGAGCTCATAATGTTCAGTGAAACATATCAGACACATAGCTTCAATATCGCACAGTTTCTCTTACAGGGGAAACCCAGGTATAAGTAAATTAAAGAGCAGAATGAAAAGTGGATGACAGGAAACAGGGAGATGGATCTTTTGCCAAGGGGAAGGGGGCTGACGGACGGAGGGAGGGAGGGAGGACAGGAAGAGGATGTAAACAAAAGTAAGACGGTTTTCATCCATGCGCCACTCCCCACGAGGAATGTGAGAGTTTCATACTGCAAACATGGACTCATGAAAGTCAATCTAAAAAAAGAAAGAAACATCACTGTCTTCTTTCAGGAATTCTAAAGAATTTAGGGGAGATCATCGAGAAACAGGGAAGCAAATAAATGAGGTGCTTGTCATCAGGCTGAGTGCCGAGGAGGAAAGAGGCAGCACTTTTTTGAGACATGGGAGCAAGGCCCACGTAGACAGGCCCCAGCCAAGAGGACAGGAGGCCAAGCCTGGGCAGAGCTGCCCGGAGCACCAAGGGCGAAGCAGGGCAGCTGAGGGAGGTCAGCAGCGCCGTGGGAGCCTGGGTGCCCTCAACACGAGGAAGAGCACAGAGGGGGGCGAGCAGCGGATCACCACCACCACCACCACCACCCCCACCCCCGTCTGCTCTGGAACAGCTCCAAGGGCCTGTGGCAGCCAGGTGACAGACAGCCTGGGGTCCAAACCAGGTGAGCCAGCAGGAGGAGGAGGAGGAAGAGGAGGAGGAGGAAGTGGGGTTCTGTGGTCCCCCCAGGGCAGAGCCCGTGGGCTTGCAGACGGCCTGACAGTGCTGAGCAAAGGTGGAGGGGGACTCTGAGGGTCTGGTCTGGACAGCCAGGTGGTGCTGGGCCATGTGCCGGTGGCTAGGCAGTGAAGTCTCCCGGAAATCCAGAGGACAGCAAGGCACAGGGCCCCGGGACCCCAGCGTGACAGCCCAGGTCCGCTGCCCGCCCCACCCTGGCCTGCTGCCTGCTGCCTCCAGGGCTCTTGCAAACCCTTCCTGTGGCCTGGAGCCGGGGCCTGGCCATGGGGCCCCTGTTCCTGCCCAGCAGCACCAGGGGACCCCAATGTGGTGACACTGACCCCTAAGGACGTCCCCGGTCCTTTCCAGCTCCCAGAGGCCCCGATGCAGCTTTCTCTCCGATCTTCAGTGTAGGTCTCCTGTTTATAGCAGCGCAACTCACAAGCCCTGGAAGTGGCCTACGTGGCCTCAGTGGATGAGTGGATCGAGGAGTACTACTCTGCCATAAAGAAGGGCACACTCAGTCACTTTTAGGAAAATGGAGGCACCCTGAGGCTATGGTGTTAGGTGTTATGAATCAGACATGTAAGCTTAAATATGGCATGGTGCCTCTCCTATGAGAACTCGAAGTATAAATAAAGAGCAAGATCAAATGCAGAAGATAGGAAACAGGGAGATACAGTTGGGGAGATGGGCAGGGGACCTGGAGGAAAGGAGAGAGAGGTGGGCAGCAGGGCACTGGGTCGACCAAGTGCCATGTGGGTGGGTATGGATCTCTGAGATGGATGTGTCATGGCTGGGAAATATGGACCCTGAGGACCGAGTAGCAGTGTCACGGAAGGAGGAAGAGAGGAGGGAGTGGGCAGCCGCCGGGCTTCACAGGGACAGTCACTTGAGACGCCGCTGTACGCATTCTGTCGCGAGGGAGCACAGGCGCTCCAGCAAGCCCACCGCCTCCTCCACTCCCTCTTCCAGACACGGACACAAGGCTCTGACCCGCCAGGCTGTGAGGCCTGAGGCAGCCAGTGAGAAAGCCCCAGTGTAGACACCTGCAGGCCTCTGCCATTCCCTGATCCCACGGAGGCCACGGAGAGGGCAGCTGTGCTCCACCCACCCTCCCAGCACACCGTTCCCGCCCCGGAGCCAGCTGACCACGGACGGAAACCGGGAGCCAGAGCAAACGCTCCTCCTGGAAGCCGTGGGTGTCAGTAGGTATCCTGTCCCCACAACAGAAAGAGAGCTAACAGGAATTCTCACAGGAACTCGAGTTCGGGCAAGCCTTTGAGTTCACTTAGCGCAGCTGAAGTGCAGGACCACGTTCCTTCAGCCCCTGCAATCCCAGCAGCTTCCTGGAGCAGCTCGCTTCCTGCTGGATGGCGGCCAGCATCAAGACGGCTTCATGTCCCAGCAGGGACGAAAAGCCACATTATCACTTCCAGACCAGGGACCTTCCCCAACAACCCGAGCAGCAGCCAACTCGCCCCCGTCGGGAGGAAGGATCCAGAACAAGAGTGTTGTTAGTGGGCTCAGGTTTGCAAGTTCATCCCATGGAAAAAGCAGCATTCCTGAGAAGGGTATCGGGAGGATGGAAGGCTTTATTTCAGGACCAAAGAATGGAGAAGCACGGAGAAGTAAATGGACTTGTGCTCTCGAGGAGGCGAGGCCGTTACAGACATGGGGTAGGAACGCAGGGTGCTGCTGAGGCCAAAGGACATCCGGTCTTCTCCAGGACCACGCAGAGGCCTTTTAGGAGCTGGTGTCATCCCCTTCCGTTCCCCTCAGTCTGTGTCCAGTCACTGTGGCTGGCAGGTGACTGTAGCCTTGAAGTCGGGGCGGGGAGAGGCCAGATGGCCCTTGTCAGGTTAATTCTGTGTCACAGCTCAGAGAAGACAGTTCCCACGTGGTCAGCGTGTGTCCATGCGGGGCCCAGCAGAACCTGACCCTAAGGTTGTGGCAGCAACAGGAGAGACGTAGCGTGAAGACAGAGATGCCAGACCTGTGTCTGGAACCAGCACGTGCCACACAGCCGCGGGGCCACATGACATCGGCACTTTCAGCTGCAGCAGCTACCGTGGCCTTCACATCCCTCAGAGTAACCCAGACAGCCGTTACCACGGTAACGCTCAGAGGTCCTCTGTAGCCACACTAGGGGGAAACTACGGAAGAATCACCAGCTGAGTGGCCCCCAGATTAGTGATTTTTAAGGCAGCTAAGAGGAAGTGACACTAGAGGGTTTAAGTTTTTCCTCTGCAACACTTTTCCGCTTGTTTTATTTCTCAGTCTTTAGGGATGTGAAGTCTTTTGGAGGTCATTTGGGTGACTGGCTCGAATTCTATTATAAGGGGCTGCTAGTCCATAGCATCCTGTCGTTAGGGACAAGCAGAGTTAGGCTTAGACAACAAGTCAGGCAAAGTTTAGTCAAGGTTTATAACAGCCACACTGGGTGATCTCTCTCTCTCTCTCTCTCTCTCTCTCTCTCTCTCTCTCTCTCTCTCTC